TGAAACTATAAATTAAGTTAATTAATTATATTTAATTTATATATATTTTATATTAGTAATTATTCTTAATTTATTTATATTTTATATTTATTTCTTTTTTATAAATATATTCTTTTTATTCTATATTTTTATCTTAGATCTGAATATTATTTAAATAATAAAATTATAAATTTATAAATTAAAATTATTCATATTATATTTTATTATATTTATAATATTAATAAATAATTTTATAACTTGATAATTATAAATATAATTATTACAAATTATATTATATTATATTATATACTTTATATATATTTTAGTTTTAATATTTAAAATTTAAAAAAAATATTTATATAAAATATAATAAAACTTATTAATATAATAAAAGATAATAATTCTTTTAACTTAAAGTTCTCATCTTATTTTTTTATAAAATTATTTATCTACTAAGTAAATTAATAGAAAATATACTTATTTAAATATTATAAGTTAAAATTATATTCTTAATTTAAGAAATTATAAAAAAATATAAATATGATATATTATTATTTCTTTAATTAATATAATCTTATATTAATATTTTAATAAATATAAAATTATATATTATTTAATTAATAAAAAAGCTTTATTACTATACTTAAAAAAATTTTTTTAATTATTATATTATTAATAATATTTTTATTATTAAATATAAATATAAGGAATATTAAATTTTACCAAAATAGTAATAAGAAGTTGATCAATTATAGTATTATTAATATTAATCAAAAAATCTACTGAAATAAGTTTTGTTTTTAATTGAAATGTAAATAAGATATTTATAATCTTTCTATTACAATTATCAATGGTTTCATCCATAATAATTGAAATAGATTTGTTATTAAATAAAACTTTAAATTCTGTTAAATGATTTTTAAAAACATAGGATAAATAAATTTATTGAAAAGTTAGAGCTTGTGAAATGACACCTCTATTATGATAATATTTTTGAAGAAAGAAACATAAAAAGATTACTTTTTCTAATAGAATATTAGTAATTGCCATCACTTGAATAAGATCTTTAATAATTTTTCATTAGATATCTATTATATTTAATATAGTAGATAAGATTTATTGTTAATATTATTATATTAACTTTTGATTAGCTTTTCTTTTTTTTTCTTGATGTATTTTGCTTTTGACATGATCATTTACTATTGATTTGCATTTCTATTCTATGAAGATATTACTAAAATTATAAAAAAGTAGATTGTTATTAATATAAAAATAACTGGAAAATTCAGAAATATAAGATTGAGAAATAATTTTCTTATGTTGTGCTATTGAAAAAAAAGTGATTTTTATTCAAAGAGGTTATGTCAAAAAATTTATACGTATCAAAAAATTCATACATATTTTTCTGTATAAGAATAAGAAAGTAAATTTACAATTCTATAATCTTTGTAGTCTAATATAATTTTTGCAATATAAAGTTCTAATTTCTGCAAAAATCCTATCAATCTGCAATTTTTGTAATTTTTTGCATTTTGCAAAATTTTATCATTTCTGTACTGAGATGATACTAAGTTAAGATGTAATGAGCAAGAATCATATACTAAGTCTGATTATGATGAATAAGACTTTAATACTTTATAAAAAGTAAATTTTTAAATAATAATTAATTTATAAAGAAGTTGAAAAGGCTAAGATCAGATACATTTGAATAACTTATTAAGAAAGCTAAATAACCAAACACATGGATAATAAAAGAACAAAAATCATTTTATATTAATTTTGCCTTATCAATCTTGCAGAATAAGAGAACAGCTTGAAAAAAGATAGCTTTAAATATTAATAAAATCACAAACTAATTCCCAATAATAATAAAAAGATCAATTAGCAGTGATACTAATGAATCTCTTGATGAGATTGATGAACTCTCATATAATGAGATGATTAATTCTGAGAATGATAATAATAAGTTTACTTTAAACTTGCTTGATACCATATTAAAGAAAAAGTCTGATGATATATGACTTCGTATAGTAAGTCAATTTCTTTACTTGATTAAAGATAAGAGATTTTCTAAACTAGTAGCTAGCAAACTTCTCACTTTAAGTATTAATAAGAGTCCATGATATATACATATTATTTACTTTTGGACTAATTAATAGTTAAGTAATAATTAACTTTCCATATTACATTATGATCATCATGCAAAAATCAGATCATTCTTGCTTCATGAAGACTTCAAATTGAATATTATTAAGTATTTACAGGCTAATAAATTTAAAATAACTATTTATCAATTTGTAAAGTTTGTGAAGGATAAGACTATCCTAGCTTTTAGAATTGAAGGAAAAAAAATAATTTCTAGAGAAATGGCTTGAAAATAGTTGCATCATCTTGGCTGGAATTACAAGAATCACTCAAAAAATATTTTCTTTGATGATCATAAATAGGAGGATGTGATGGCTTATTAGAATCAATTTTTGAAATAAATAACTAGTCTATGATCTCAGATTACTATCTATGAAAATGAAAATATGAACCAAGTTATTTTACTAATACTTTCATCTAATATTCTCAAACTTATTCTAATTATTTATGATAAATTAGTTTTTTATATGAATGATAGCATTATTATTACTTGGGATCCTGTAAATGAAAATAAAATCTGATACAAATTACAAGAGCTTAGTATTCACGTGAGTGATTTTATTTACAAATCAATCAGATATTTTCATCTTTCACAAGAAGACCAAGTAGCAAATAACTTGCTTCTTAATCACAAGTATCTTATGCATACTGATATCTATGTTATTATTCATCTGGACTCAAATTGAGATGGTTGATAAATAAATGATGATATCATAAAACAAATAACCAAAAGAGTCATTCTGATTTTTGAATAAACATATCCTGACAAGATCATGCTTTTCATATTTGATAATAGTTACAATCATGCTGCTTTTACTAATGATACTCTGATAATTTCATATATAAACTTAAAGGATGAAGATAAGCAATCACTTCTTTGTGATAATTAGATATTTGATAATTCTTCTTATATTTTAACATTTATGAATATTGATAGTATAATAAAACTAAAGGATATCTGATAAATTCTTCAAGAGTGTGGATTATGAATATAAGATTTAGAAAGATAATACAATATATGTAAATCATATATCTCTGATTCAGTAAATTTAAAATATTATATAGTACAAATTCTTAGTTATTAGTTTAATTTCATATTACAAAAAAATCACTTACAGGAGATTATCAAAACAGCTGGTTATATGTATATATTTTATTCAAAGTTTCACTATGAACTCAATTTTATTAAGTTATTCTGAAAAAAAGTGAAGCAATACTTATAATTATATTATGATTATATCTTTTAAGATCTTAAAAATATCATTTCACGTGTATTAGAGTCTATCACTCTAACCAAAATTCATCATTTTGTATATTGATCTGCTTAGTATATGAGTGTATATAATCATGGTCTTTTCAGCAAGGCTATAGTCTTCATAATAAGAAAATATCAATTCTATTATCAGATTTTGACAAGTATGCTAGAGAAGTTTGATTATTTATAGTGAATTAAAGAGTCATATTATATATCAAGTAAAAGTTAGGCAGACTCAAGAAAGATTTTTAAGCTCTTATTATAGAGCTTTAGATTACTGATTTTATTATTCTTCTTATTTATTATGCTTTGATTGATCATGCGCTAAAAATAAATTGAGTTACTATTCACGTATTATAAAATAAACCAATAGGTGATCACTCACGTGATCATTTTGATCGCTGAAATTCTGGCTTTTACTATGAAAATAGCTCTTGAAAAATTCTAATTGCTTACTAAATTATTATTAAACTTTAAAAAAAATACATTGGATTATAAAGCTTATCAAAGACTATTTAATAATGTATTTTTTTTCATAATTAAATGTTTGGATACAAAGCCTTTGCAATTCAAAGTATTTGATGTGACTAAGATTGGTGCATCATATATAGAAGTAAATCAGCAATAATATTTTATAAAATTTTTCTTATACTAATTCTATATTTTAAAGAAAAATCTTTCTATTTTTTAATATAATTTTGCTTTTAAGCAAACTTTGCATATATTAACAAACTTTATTCAAAATATACCTATTAATAAATAACCCAAACTCAGATAATATATTTTTTAAATTATATTTTCTAGTGTTTTTGATATTTACATGATCTAATGTCATTTATAAATATAGATCGTTATCGTTATTGTATGCTATTTATGCTATTTGAATTTTCGATTTTTTGGCTGTCAAAAAAATAAACATGTTTGATACGATAAGCAATTTATTTCGTGATTTCGGAACTCAACGAAATGTTCTCTTTACAATATTTGGAGTGTCAATAATAAGCTTTGGATTCATCTTGCGACCTTCACATAATTTCATTATTTTCCGAAAAGAAAATCGTAAACAAACAGAGTCCGAAAATAAAAACATTATAACTTACCATCATACAGTACGACAACAGCAACAACAAAAGATCACTGACGATTCCGAAATACGACTCTCTTCAGAAGACAGACTAGAGATAGAAGAGGAAGAGGAACAACAACGATTTCAAAAACAAGAGGAAGAAGAACGAATTCGTCTAGAAGAAGAACAGGTTCGACATGCTGAAGAAATAGCACAGTTTGACCAGTCACTAATAATTGAAGACTTGCGAAGACGTCAGGCAGAAGAAGATGCCAGACTGCAAGGAGAGACGCCTATTTGGCAGCTGGATTATATAGATTGGTGGGAGGATTATGGGCAGGATGTTATTGCAAGTTGGCCAATGTATATCACGGCTGCAGTCGCGTAGTTTTTGCAACGATCTTTAGAATTTATGCACTATAATATTATTTTATTGGTATAATTTATTAACCTAAAGTTATTAAACTCCCCTAAATACATTTAGATACTAAGTCCCCAGCTAACTAAAATATGAGAGTTTGTTATTCAAACTAGAATAAAGCTCAGATCCAAAAATTTCGGTCGGTTCACATGAACCGGCTTTTTTGCATGATAATTGAAATTAATTTCAGTAACTGAATTGAGCTTTATTAGCTATATTTAGCAGATTGTAAAATGTCAGAAAACAAAGTTCTTGACATTATATACATTATATGAATAATTCTTAAGAAGCACAACATGATTATGATGTCAGTTATGAAACTATTGATGTCTTACAAAGGGCTTTTTTGACTAGCATTATTTTTCTTTTTTAAAAAAGATCAAGTTAGCTAAAGAAGAAAGTAATGGTAAAGTGGAAGAAGGAAAAAGAAAGAAAAAGTGGAATTTTTCTCTCGATTAATTATCTTTTTAATCAAATGGCACATTGAAAACGTGTACTCTTTTCGTTGTATAATAATGCAAAATAGATTATTATTTATTAAAAAAAAGAGATCTTACTAATTTCTTCTGATTCTGTATTATTTGTAAGACATGAGTTCGATAGTTTTGTTGGATTCATAACTATTAATAAAATTGAATGTTAGTTCAATATCGATATATTTTGAATTTTACGTTTATAATATGAAAATTAATGTTCATGATTTTTTCTCTAGCACAAATTATTAAATGAAATATGCATTCTATATAAGTCTATAAAGAAAATTTTTGTGTTATTTATGTTATTCAATAAAGAACGTTCTTGATCCAATTCATTTAGCTTAACGACGGCTCCGTTTTGAAGTAGAGTTTCCATTAGTGATTTCTACTTGTCGCTTCTAAGCAAAACAGGAAAATCGTTAATATATGTATAATATTGAACAATTGTATTGGCAAACATCTCTTATTTCACACCTTATTGTTATTGTTATTATTATTTGCAACCTTTCGTTTAAGTTCCGCTTCCTTCCGTTCCTCCTCTTCTTTTTCTTCAATCTCAGACTGTTCTTTCTGTAAAAGAGAAATTAACGTGGTGCAACGTCTAGAGATCTCCGATGAAGTTCGAGATTTGATAAACCAGTTGAATCGGAACGGCGGGAACTTGTCAATATCATTACGAATCTTGTCGTAGACTTCCTCTGTTCCATAGCCGTATTTTGCGAGAGCGACTAGAATAAACCGATCCTCCTCCTCAGTAAAGGTCTTGCCTTTGTTTAGATTGTACGGGATTTCGAGTTGACTTAGTGGCGTCCGGTATTTTGATACTTTTTCTTGGAGAAGTTGTTGGATTTCTTGTGTCTGTTGTAACTTTGTTTCCCCTCGCTCAATTTTTGCTATGATTTCTTCATAATCTAGATAAATGATATTTGCAATAGATCGTTGATGTGTAATGTAAATTTTATATGTACGGTAGTTTATTTTTAAATGATGTGAAACAAATAATTTGATAATTGAACTCACTTGACAATTCTTGATACCGTTCCCAAAAGACTCGAGCATATTCTTGAACTTCTTTGTATGATTTACCTTCAATTTCTGCCGCAATGTCTATTAAAGCATCTCTATAAATAACAATTTCATTTTATCAATTGTATCGTCGAACCAATAATCAAATTAAGCACTATAATGTTTTACCTTCCATATTTAGCAGTCGCAGTAATAAAGTTATTGAAATCACGTTTGTTCCATTCAACAAAAGCCTGAAAAATTATATTTGATGAATAAAAATAAGCAAACTCAAAAATCAAATTAATTATTGTTATCAAACCTCTCTCGTTAATTCCTCCTTTTCTTCTAATTCTTCTTCAGTGAGAGGTTCAGCTACAAAATATTTATAATTTAATTAATCATCACATAAAATCATCAATTTCAAATTAATAAAATATAAAATGAAACTTACCAGAATTAATTTTATTTTGTTCTTCCTCTCTTTCTCTTTCTCGTTGACGTCTTTCCGATTCCATAACTTCTACGTTACTCTCATCTTCAAGTTCTGGAGATTCTCTTAACGGAACTACATAACCGGCAGTTTTCTATTCATTCAGAAAGAACAATATTAACGTGCTGCAATAGAAATTGACCAAAATTACATTATAATCAATACACTTACTTGTTGATAATACATTTCCTTTTTTAAATAATCAACAAGTTTTTGTGGATAAAACTGATATTCCGGTCTAATCATAAGCATAGAAGTTCATTACTTCGAATATTTTTTAATAAATAGTAAATAAATTTACGCACATGCTAATTTGCTTGGTAACCCGTGGTGCTTTAGGAGCGTTTGGTTTAGGGCCCACTCGTAATGCTTCTCTGAAATAGTTATCAACTGTATAATTAGCTTTTCGTTCTCGTTTCGGTGGTTCTATCCAGGTAAAGCTTGAAGAAGATTCCGTTTCTTTTGGCTAAAAGAATAATTGCACGATAATTTCGGGCAAAAAATGCAAATACACTCTACATATAACCAAATAAAAAGATAATAAACCTTATTGCGCCAATCTTCGCCTTGCCATTCATATGCAGATTCTGATGTAAATTTCTGAAGATCCTCTAACCCTAGACCTTCATATTTTCTATTCAACTCCGCAGTTTTTTCTTCTCCTTTTAAGAGAATCTGATCAATATCATCTTGCGTCACCGTACTATCACTCGAATTAAATATACTTTTGGCCCCGTGTTGGATCATATTCAGCAGTTCCTCTTTAGTCGCAGCTTTCTGTGTTTGACTCAAACGTCCTTGTTGTATCACAAGTTGGTCGAGTCGTAATTTCTGTGCTGCTCTTTCGAGTACTTTTTCTTCAATTGCATTCTCGGTCACGAAACGAAAAACGTAAACTTGTTTTGTTTGACCAATACGATGCGCTCGGTCCTGTGCTTGCAAGTCTACTTGTGGATTCCAGTCACTGTCATATAATACTACTATGTTAGCAGCTGTAAGATTGATCCCGAGGCCACCGGCGCGTGTTGTAAGTAGGAAGATAAATTTATTACTTTCGGGATTATTGAAATCATCAATGGCAGTTATACGTTCATCTTGTTTTGTTTGTCCGTCAATACGACAATATTCTAGAATAGAGAGATAAAATCAGTATTCAAATAAAGGTTTAAATTCAAAATGCATTAAAAAATTATCTGGAAAACACAAACCATATCCTCGGAATATACAATAATCTTCCAAAATATCAAGTACACGGCTCATCTGACTGAATAAAAGAACACGAGATCCTTGAGCTTTCACCCGCTTTAGTAGCTTGTCAAGAACTACCATTTTTCCTGCATCATAGATTATATGGTAGTAATTAGCGAAAAATTCTTACAATAATGCATGAATATACTTACCCGAGTTATCAACAAGATGTTCATCTGTGGTATATGGAGGTCCAGGCTCCTGTTAAAAAATTTATTCGGTTAATACTTGATAAAGAATCGACCAATAACATTTTTGAAAAATACTTGGAAATGATTTTACTTACAGCGCCATCAAATAGATATGGATGATTACAGCACTTGCGCAGCTGCATCACAATATTAAGCAGTCGAGTCTTGCTTTCTCCTTTACCAACCACACCTATTAATAGATTGAGTTTATTAAGTTTCGATAAATAGTTTGAGCAAAAGTAATAATATTGCAAAATTATATTACCATTTAATGCAGCAATATCTTTCTCGAGTATTTTTTGATACCATTTCCTTTGCATTGCTGACATACCGACATAAACATTTATTTCTTTTTTGGGTAGTAACGATTTTTCAACATCAGACTTAATTCTCCGAAGAAGAAAAGGTCGCAAGACCTGTTTATATATTTACATAAAAATATTGATAACTAGTTTAAATTGATGTTCAAGTTAAATAAACTAAGTACCTTATGCAATTGTTGAATAACCCAATCTTGATTTCCTCCTTGTGCTTCAAACCACGAGTCAAAGTCCTCAGACGAATTAAACACATCTGGTAACAAAAAATTCAACAACGCCCATAATTCGTGTAAGTTATTCTGTAACGGCGTCCCGGTAATCAATAGCCGATTACGCGAGTTAAAGATTCTGACTATTTGCGAAAGTAACGAATTCTCGTTCTTTATACGATGAGCTTCGTCAATGATGATGTATTGGAATGAAAGTTTCTTGAGATGGGCCTTTTCCATTAGACACATTTCATAGGAGGTTACGCAAATTTCAAAATCTTGCGGAAGCAACACATTTTGCGCTATGTCAGCCTATTATGCAATGATTAATGATGACGCATATCCATATAAAATAATAATTTATAAGGATTCAAACGCAAGAATTCAAAAATGATATATTTTATTTACCCTTTCTTTCTTATTCCCATGGAAAATAATCACTTTGAAGTCTGGGGTCCACTTATTTATTTCTTGTTCCCAATTATGTAATGTAGATTTTGGTGCTACAACTAAATGCGGACCCTTGATATCTCTAAAGTGCTTAAGATATGCCAATAATGCAACTGTCTGCAACGTCTTGCCAAGGCCCTATATTTGACGCAACACACACACATACGTATATAATTTATTTGAAAATAAAGATTCATAGGAAAA